ATCAATTTGCCCGAGTTCAAAACTGAAGAATTAAAAAATCAATAAAACATGAAAAAAAAATCGGTTTTTTAAACAAACTACTATCCAAAAAAAAATTCCTCTTTTCTTTCTTTTCATTTACTGAACTAACCAGGCAAATTTGTTAACGATCGACACAATTCGATAGCAAACGATTCTGCTGCCTTACTCCGAAGCGTTAGTCGATCAACTTCTGCTTGAAATGCCTTGATTAAGGGTACAGCAGCTTTACGTAATACCTGCAATCACTGCAGATGAAACTGCATCACCTATGTTCAAAATCAATCATACCCACAAAATATCTTGTAAAGAAGGATTATTTTAAAAAAAAAAAAGTAACGAAAATTTACAAATGTGATTTCAAAATCAAAAATACTCACAAAAATTCTTAACTATTTATCCAATGTTTTTCACTGAAACTATTTGAAAATCTTTTTAAAGGTTTTAGTTGATAAAGGATACAAAAATTAAGTGCAATAAATTGAAAAATAGAACAACAGAAGAACAGAAAAAAAGAAGGCAGCAGGACAGATTGAAAAGCTGTTACTGCTGCTGCAGAAGCAGAAAAAAAAAACAGCACAAAAAAAAGTTGGTTATTGGGATGGCATAAAAAAGAGCATCGATAGTGAACAACTGAAACTGGAAAAGCAGATAAACAAGCTTGAGATCTGAGTATCAACCAAAATCGATAGGAGGTGGGGCCTTGCCGATTGATCGCCTAACCACTGATCATACCCGTAGCAACACCAATTTTGGCAATTTTCTTTATATATATAAGCTTTTACATACAATCAATAAAGACATTTTTTTCCCGATCACTCAAACAATCAGCCATTCTTCGACACTTCAACATTTCCTCTCCCTTCTCCTCCATCCTTTCTTTATTCAATTCATAAAACTTTTTTTTTTTTTGATGCTACAGCTTCAGATTTTTTTATTTACACAATTGTAGCAAAAAACCAACATGATGCCAAAAAAAAAAATTATAGTTTGTTTCAGGGAAAAAAAGGCAGTGAAAAAAGTGTTTTTTTTTTGAATAGCACTGAAAAAACTAGAAATAACAATTAACACTATTAATGCAAACCTCCCCCTTTTCCCTCAGTATTTGCAAAGCTTCTTTTTTTCTGCTTCATTTCCAAACTATTCGAGACAGAAAACTATGGCAAAAAAAAAAAAAAAAAAAAAAAAAAAAAAAAA